ATGGGATGGGATGAAGGGACATTCCAAGGACTTCACAGAAGGTAGAGCTGCAAAAACGGTTCTTGAAAAGAGGAAATTATCAAGGACATGGGATTCTGCAAAGCATACACAGGAAAAGTATTTGGCGTTGTTTCTCAGGTGGTGTCACTTGCATTACAGACTTAGGAAGCAATCCTGTGGCCCCTGGAATTGAACTGAGAGGCTGTGTTGCAGGCCTGCCTTTTAGAGGGTGGAGAGAGAGCTCTGTGGGTAGAGACTTCCACGGAATGGCAGCAGAAAGCTCCACTGCCAGCTACTCCAGCAGCTCTGAGGCTAAAAACAGGGCATTGTGGATGGGCATGGTGGAACCACACTATCCCATCCTCCCTCATTCCCTAGCATGCTCTAGAGAAGGATCTGGAAAATGCTACCATGTAGTTCATTGTTACTCGTTGTTGGCAGTGAGAGGTGGACCAAGGGGGAAAAAGTACAGTGCCCTCTCAACATAACATGGCCAATGCAAGATGGTTTAAAACGGGCATTTTGTCTTCCATGGATTATTTCTTCTTCCATGGGTTAGGATTGCTGTGCCATCTGGTTTTAGACCCTTGCCCAGGAACACTGGGAATGGGGTATTGTCATGTAGAAAAGCAACTTCTATCACGCAATTCTCAGCATTTTCTCCAATCTATAATTCTCCAAATTCTCTGGGAGAAGGCCTGCCGGAGAGGTTTTTTGTGTGGATATGATATAATTTGTGGCATCTGTAATTTGAATGAATATACACTGTAATTCCATGATACACACTTCCTGCATCCATTGATACAGCATGCAATTTGAGGAATGGTTAAATCATGTCTTAACAGGCAGAGGAAGGACAATTATTCCAGATTCAGTAACTGTGTGTGTTTTGTCTTACACTTCCTATCAGCTGTGCCAGCATATCCAATGGCAATGAGTTATAAGAAGTACAGGTCAAAACATTTGGTGGATACAAGATACCTTACTCTTGCTCTAGACTTTAGAAAATGTTCAGTTGATTTAAGAGCCAGAAAGTCACCTGGCATGTGGATCCGAGTTGCTTCAATATCTATGCAGTCAGATTGTGCCTCAAGTAAAAAATAGTACAGCAGTATAAAAAGTAGAAATATTCATAAATGATAAAATATGGACAACCCCATTTGGATGAAGTTATTATACAAAACTTAGATCAGCAATATTTCTGAAGTAGGTTTTTACAAATGTAATTGAAAGTGAAGGTTTAGGTGCATTTAGATAATGCTCCTAAAGCAAAACTTAGAAACATTAATAATATTTAAGTAAAATTAGTGACATTTCTTGAGATGAGAGGCAATGGGATGAGAAGGTTTGCAGGAAGCCTGTTGACCAGAAGTGTGCTGGGGGCAATGACCCCTTCTTCAAAAGAACATGTTTCTAGAGATTAAGGGAGGCCTTTCTGTCCTGTATTTGGGAATCTCTGGAAATGCACAGAAAAACTCATATTGAGAGAAACTAGGACGGTTAACAAGAAGTCATTTTTCACTACCACAAACTATGGTTTTTAAAAAGTTATTATTATTATACTTTTTAAATATGTACATTTAGCCCAATGGTCTCCACAATGATAACTAAATGTTGGAAGGCAACAGAATACACAGAGTTTTCTGAATAGGGTTTTTAAATTATTTTTGAAAGTGTTTTTGAAGTATTTGGAAGTGTAATGGAAATTGAAGGGCGCAGGGAGACTAGCAGTTTGGAGACAGCTGAATGACCTGAAAAGAATCCAACAGATCAGCTGCCCAGCTGAGGCTGGTCACTCCAGTGTCAGTGGGTGGTGTCCCCTCTGACCTTCAGTCCCAGTTAGGCCTTAGTGCCTTAAAAGCTCAGAGTGGATACACCATCCCATTGACACTGGAGCCACAAGTTCCATTGAATGTGAGATCCATGTGTTTGCCTCAAATAGTATGTCCACTAGATAGTAAAATGGGTGCCCACAATTTGGAGCAGATTTGGGGGCCCCAGGAGGGGCAAGGGTGAGTCCCACTGCATGGCAGAAGCCTATTTATGTTATGTTGGAAGGAGCCCATGGTGCGATTCAGACTGTGGAGAGACAGAACTCATTATCGACCTCAGCTCTTTGATCAAATCTGGAGAAGCAAACACTGCATTACATGAGGATGTGATGATTTGCAGCTGTAATTGCCAGAAATATCTCTCTAGCATTTTCTAAAATGTGTCAGTTAGAAGGGCAGGCTGTCAGGTTTCACTCAGGTACATTGTAATTTAGAAGAATACTTGCCTGAATAAAGGACAATTGACAAAATCTAGTTGGAGGATCAAGTTCTCAAGAGGCCACATCCCACAGTAGCACATTTGTCCTGTGTACGACTATATCTGCTTTTATTTGCTTTTAAGAAGAGAAAATAGGATCATTTTCATCTAGTCAACAAATACAGTTGGATCCATTTCATCTGTTTTGAAGCAAAAATGCAAAATACGAATGAGATTGGGCTGATTGGAGTATTTCTTGTGCATTTATTCAAATCCAAAATGAAATGCACTGACTTTTAAACTCAGATTTTATAAGTGTTTGGAAAGAAAGAATAATCCATCTCCTAAATATCTCTGCATAGCAATTAACATAACACAGCAACTCTACAACATTTTCTTTCAGAAAATAAAACACATCTGTTTGCATTAGCGTTGTGTTTTGGGGGAAGTAACTGGTTGTGTCTGTCTAACCATGTGTTTTGAATCAATTCCACTAATTCTGAGAAAAGGTAAAAGCCTGGTCCCATATTATATTCCCTTTCCAGAGTAAAACCTTTAAGAGGGAAATGTTTATTACACCCCAGGGGGCAGCAAGTATTTCAAATTTGAAAAGAGTATCAGGGGGCAAAGTCAATGATCAACAAGAATCTAGTTCTGGCTGGAGCAACTGGAAAGTGGCCGAAATGACCACTTCTGAAAGGAGAAGTCAGTGGAGCTCGTAGAAGGGGCCTCTAGTGACTTCTCATCCCAGAGGTGGTAGCATTGACTAGTTTCTTGGCTTGTGCTAGCAGCCATTTCTAGCAGTGTATCATGTTTAGCATGGACAGACTGCCAGCACAGACATTGTCCATTGTCCCTGGAAGATTCACTTTACTCAATTCAAGGTTGAGGGATTCTTAACGGACTGGATTTTTTTCCTTAGTTGGCACATGCTTATGTGAACCTCAGGCTAGAAACTTCTCCTCTCTTAAAAAAACATCCACCCACACAAAATAAGCAATCAATCCATTACTGCATTTTGATTTCCTTAGGTTATAATGGGCATTGCACACTGTTTTAGCATCCGAATGTACCTTGTCTGCTTATAAAATGCATGTGGTGCAATATTAATTTCATTTGATGCTCTAAGAAGGAAAAAAATGTCTAGTTTGCATCACATCTTTCCAGAATGGAATGGCTGTGATTTTTAACAGTAACAAAGAGACGTTTCTTTGCTTATTTCTGGAAATTTATTTATTTCCCAACATTGTGATCACAGTCTGAATCCTTTCATTGTTATATGACTACACAAACAGAATAAAACCTGGTCAAAACTGTTTGAGAGCAATTCTTTTCCTTCCAAAATATGGCATCATTTTCTGCTAAGACCAATCCCCACAACAAACAGGCATAACCAGTTATTACGCAGTGAAAATCTCAGATGCAAAAACATTGTTGACTTTCCAAGCCTTCGTAAAACACATGTTCTTTAAAATTCACTTGAGATATTTTAAAAGAAGCATTGGCTGTAATTATAACTTGCCTGGTTTCTAATTCATTTAATTTTCTTTTTAACCTAGATGAAGCATGTATGTGACTCTCTCTCTCTCTGTGTGTGTGTGTGTGTGTGTCATAAGAGACCATAAAAATAAATTTTTAATTATAAAAGGATGTAACTTCATCCATTATTAATAATAACCAACAATGTGGAATATGTGTTTATATATAAAATCCATTAGGAAGATAAGCTGACTACAGTTCTAGAAATAGTGCTAGCATTGCTCTTGTATATATGGATTAAGGGTGGGGGTGGGAAATCTTTCCTGAAAATAAGATTTCCAAAAAAGTGCAAGAAATTCATTGAATTTATTGAATAAAAATGCGAACAGCCCTATGGGATTAGACTAAGGCAAACTAGCACTTGTTTCTAGCAACAGTCAAGCTGATGTCTCTGGGAAGACCCTAAGCAGGCCATGAGGGCATTTGTCCCCCTTTGTTATCTCTTCCCAGACTATGCTACACAAGAGGTATACCTTCTTGGAACAAGGAGGATCCATCAAAGCAATACCCTGTTTAAAAGCCATCTAAGTCAATGGCTACTGCCACAGCTTGACTCAATTAATAGTACAGTATATTCATTAGTGGTGTGGTGCTTAGACAGTTGGAATGAGGATTCAGGAAATCTGGGTTCTGGTTCCCACTTGGCCACAAATCTTACTGGGTGACTTTGGGCCAGTCACTGACTCTCAGCCCAACCTACCTCACAGGGCTGCTGTGATGGTAATATTGAGAAGAGGAGAAACATGCCAGTCTCTTTGTGATTCTTGAAAGGAAAAAAGGCAGGATATAAATATACTAAATAAATAAATATTATGTGTTGGATGAAGACATACTTTTGTGTCGTTAATCTGTCCTAACCCTACTACTTATCAGCTTCTTTGAATGAGCCTGAGTTTTAGTATTAAGAGACAGGGAGGATAAAAGTCTTTACTCATCAGAATTCTTCATATACAATTCTTAAAATCTGTTGCAAAATTATGAAGGCATCTTCTGGCTTCCCCATCCCATCTTATCCCTTGTTAGGATGCTGTATAGAATGTACAAGATTTATAACAGTACATTTACATGGCTAGCAAACATGGCCCCCTTATAAATTTTATATTACTACGGATAGTATTTTTTATTAATGTTTGGTTTAAAGGAATATATCCTTCTGTTATGTCAGTTTTCCAGCAGGGCCGTTTCATGGGAATTCAGTCAACTGCATTACATTAGTGATAACAGACTTGAGAGATCTCAAGAGCCAGTTCCAGACACTCGCCGGTTTCATGGCAAGACTCAAAGATGCTGCAGTCAATGTCGCAGTCACAGCTGCAGTCGCCGTTGGCGGGGTCGTCGCTTGAGGTGTGGTGATATCTATGGGAAGGGCAGCACACATGGGTCAGCCAACTTTCACAGACATCGGGCAACATGAACAGAAAGTCCCAAAACTGGCAGAACAAGCAGGCCAGGATGAGTGTGGCACATTCATCTGTTTTCAAAAGGAGAAGAGCAAGGAGTGAGATTTGCAGCAGGAAAGCAAAACTGTGAACATTGTTGCCCATCCAGTGCAGGAGAAAAATGGGAAGGTTTCCACACTTCCCTGCACTGATTAAGGATGTCAGAAGAACCCACCGTTAACTCAAAGGAGTTCACATTTCTAACAATCCGGCCCATAGATTCCACATCAGACTGACTTTTCCTGAGTCACCCAATTCTGGGGACTTGTGAATCTTTTTTCAGCCTTTATTTTACATAGTGTTTGGCAAAGTTTGCAACAGAAAAATGCATAAATAATCAAATAAAATTATGATAAAAATGCACATTACCCCCCATAGGTGAAGGAATGGTAATACACATTTTTAGCGATTTCCATATTTTGGGGGTGTTTGTGTATTTTCAGGAATGAAAATTTGCATAATTTCGAGCTTGCACAAATGTGTATGAGTACCTTTACATTTGCATTCATAATCTAATCCCATTGGTGTGCAGATGATGGAATGAAAGACAGAATGGGATTTACAACATCCACAGATCACTACTTACCAGGGAAAAGAGCTTAAAAAAGCCTCCAAACCTTCTCTTGCACGTGCATGCACAGTTGCACACTCAGAGAGACTTTGAGCTAGCCTGCCCCCACCCTTCAAGGTCCTGGACCACAATTCACCTCATTTTCAGCCAGCATGGATATGCTAACTGGGGATAATGGGAGCTATATTACACAGCATCTGGAGAGTAGTGGGTTAAGGATGGCTAATTACCGTATTTTTCCATCTATAAGACACTCCCATGTATAGGATGCCCCCCACTTTTCTTACCCATCTCTGAGCGAGCGAGCTGCTGCTGTGCCTGCCGCCCCCCCCATGCATGCGCGCGTTGCCGAGCTGCTACCCCGCCCCCGTGCGCCTGCAGTTCTCCTCTCTGCCCCTCGTGTATAAGATGCCCCTCCATTTTGAAGTAAATATTTTAAAGAAAAAGTATCCTCTTATACACAAAATAATACGGTATTTCAGTTTAGGGATGGTGAATCTAACTATTGCAAATCTGTGATACTTTCGAATTTTCATTACCATTCCATTCCTGCATTTGTCCAAAGTATTTTTCTTTAAAAATGCTCAGAAATCTTATTTAAGTACATATTTTATACACATTTAAATGCATATTTTGCCTCCAAAATACAAAATTAAGTGTACATTTCGACATGATTAAGTTGCCCACAGCAGCTGCTTTTGTCCTCCCCTACCATGTTGCTCGGAAGACGCCCTCTGCCATGATACACAGGAAGTTTCTCAGAGCCTTATAAAAGAAAGAGCCTGCTGGATGGGGTGGGTTGCTTTTGCTTAACAGTATAGGCTATAGATTAGACTCTCTGGACACTGTATCAAGTTATTCATCAACTATCTACCTCCAAGCTTTACCATTTCTACAGGAACCTTTACCATTTCTACAGGAACCATTTCTACAACCCTGAACTTCAGACTGCATCTCTGTAGAAGTGCAAACATCCAGCAAAGAAGGGTTATGCTGAGCCTCAGACTTCTGAATTCCAAACATGATAATTTACAGATTTCAGGGCAGAATATCACTTGCCCCAGTACTTTTATTTTAATGATGTTTGAACCAAGAAGACTCCACAGTAGTGGTGACGTTCATCACCTATCCAATGTTTGCTTTCTTGCCCGGGGGCAACATGGCCTACGCATGCTACTAATGCAAGCTAGTAGTCCTGCTAGAGGAAAAGGCAAGAGCCGTAGAGCCCACCCTCAAGGAAATAAAAGGAGACAAAGAGTTTTTAGACAGAGTGGTGGAACCACAACAACTAAGATACTACAGAAGCAAGAAGTGCCACAGCAAGCTGAGGCAGAAGAAGAGAACCTTGGAAGGCTACTTGCAAACCATTTTCAGTCACTAGCAGAGGAGAGAGGTGAACATCCAGCTGTGAATGAATTTCATGACACATTGATAGATGTTGAACAAGGGGATAAAAGACAACCAGATTAGAGAAACAGCACTGTTTGAAATAAGAAGAAGAAAAGAAGAGTGTTAGTTGTGGAAGACTTTCTGCTGCTACACGGAGTGGAAAAATATGTATGTCATGACGACCCAAAGAATCACCAGATATACTGTCTTCCTGGAACCAATGATATAACCAATAGATTCATGCATCCCATACAACCCACTGACAAATACCCCTCCCTTCTCATCCACCTGGGAACAAACAACACCGCCCAGAAGAAGCTTTGATGATATAACATCCGACTTCAAAGCTATAGGGAGGAACCAGATAGTCTTCTCCTCAATCCTACCAAGACATAGAAGAACTGATAGGAAAATAAAAATCCTTCAAGTGATTGACTGGCTACTGTGGTGGAGCCCGAAAGAGAGACTTGAATTCTGGGACCACAAGCTGAGGTTCTTGGAAGATGAACTACTGGCAAATGATGGGCAGCACCTTACAAAGAACAGAAAGCATGTGTATGGCCACTCGGTGAAAAAGTTCACACATGGGAGGGAGACATGCATATCATCACCTGACAAAGACTTATGTATTTCAACACAGAAAAAAACTCAAGCAGGGCCTAATATCAGCCTCCCAAAACACATAGGAAGAAAACCAGGGCACAACAAAAATGAACTGTGATGTCTATGCACCCATATCCAGTATGGGAAACAAACAATATGAACTTGTGCTCATAGCACACAAGGGCAATTATGATTTTATAGGATTAACTGAAACTTGGTGGGATGAGTCACACAACTGGAACTCTGGAAATGAACTTCATGAAACGCTGAGAGATATTGAACAATGAGACAACCAGATAAGAGAAGTTAAGGCTAAAGCATGCTATGTACTGAGACCAACAAGGGATGATAACAACAACAAGAAAGCCTTCTTCAGATATGTCCAAAACAAAAGACATATGAAAAAGGTGTCCAACTACTTAAAATGGATGGCAAAGTGATAACAGAGGACAAGGAAAAGACAAAGGTGCTTGCTTCCTACTTTTCCTCAGTTTTCTCCCACAAAATCTACAACCAAGAGAAGTACAAGCTGAAAGTGAGGGATGGCAGTCCAAGATTGACATTCAAATAGACAAGGAATACCTAGAAGGAGTAAACGCATTCAAATCTCCAGGGCCTGATGAACTCCATCCCAGAGTCGTAAATGAGCTAGTGGAGGAACTTTCAGAACCACTGGTTATTATCTTCTAGAAATCTTGGAAAACAGAAGAAGTTCCAGATGACTGGAGAAGGGCTAACGTTGTCCCTATCTTCAAACAGGGGAAAAGGATGAACCTGGGAACTACAGACCAGTTAGTCAGACAACAATCCATGGAAAAATTCTGGAGCAAATTATTTAAAAATCTTTCTGCAAGCACCTAAAAGAATACACAGTGATTAATAAAAGCCAACATGGATTTATCAAAAATAAAGTCTGTCAGACTCATTTAATCTCATTTTTTTTTACTTGGTAGTCTCCCAAATGGATGGAGGGAACACTGTGGACATAATCTAACTAGACTTTAGCCAAGCTTTCAAGATAGTGCCCCACAACATCCTGACAAGCAAACTAGCACAAAGTGGACTAGATAGAAAAACTAGGAGGGGGATCAAAAATTGGCTTCTAAATCAGACTCAAAGAGTGCTCATCGATGGCTCCTTCTCAAATTGGATGGAGGTAACTAGTGGGGTGCCACAGGGTTCAGTCCTGGGCCCAGTGCTCTTCACATCTTTATTGATTATTTAGATGAGGAAGTAAAGGTGTGATAATCAAATTTGCCGATGATACAAATCTGGGTGGAATAGTGAACACCCTGGAACAGAATAAAGATCCAGGGCATTCTTGAACACCGGGCTGAAAGCAACAAAATGAGATTCAATGGGGATAACTGCCAAGTCCTCTACAATACAATGTATCAAATGCTTTGGTACAATGATGGGAATATGTGGCTCAACAGAACTGAAAAAGAAAAAAAGACCGCAGAGTAATTGTGGACAGCAGGCTAAATATGAGCCAACAAAGCAATGCAGCTGCAAAAAGGGCAAATGCTATTTTGGGATGCATTAATATGGAAGTATTACTTCCAGAAGTAATCGTTTCACTATACTCTTCACTAATCAGACCTAATCTAACATACTTTGTCCAGTTTTGGGCACTGAGATTTAAGAAAGATGCAGAAAAATTAGAAGGGGTCCAGACGAAGGCAACATAAATGATCCATGATTTGGAAACACTACCCTATGAGGCAAGACTGAGAGAACTGGACATGTTCAGCCTTCAGTCTTGAGAAGAGAAGACTGAGGGGGGACATTGTATCAGTTTATAAGTACCAGTGTGAGTCAGTGTGGTGTAGTGGTTAAGAGTGTGAGACAGGGATTTAGGGGATCTGGGTTCTAGTCTCCACCTGGCCATGGAACCAACTGGATGACTTTGGGCCAGTCATAGACTTCAGCCCAACCTACCTCACAGGGTTGTTGTTTTGGAAAAGAGATTGAAAGCAGCAGGAGGAGAATGATGCAAACCACTTTTGAGTTCTTTAATTAAAAAAAGGGGGGTGGAAGCATGATATAAATCAAATAAATAAAAAATAAATATCTGAAAGAAATGAGGAAGAACAAGATCTCTTTTAGTTCACACCAGAGTGTAGGGCATGGAATAATTTGCTCAAGCTGCAACAAACCAGATTCAGGCTAGATATCAGGAAAAGCTTCCTCACTGTCAGAGCAATATGACAGTAGAACCAGCTGCCTAGAAAGGTGGTGGGCTCTCCCACACTAGAGGCATTCAAAAAGAAACTGGACAGCCATCTGAGTGGGATGGTGTAAACTGGTGTCCTGAAACATCAGGGGGTTGGACCCGATGGTCTTCTTGGCCCCTTCCAGCTCTACCATCCTATGATTCACTGATCTTTATAGTAATTTGAAGAAGAGTTATGGTTGCCAACTTTAATTGTGGTTTTTTTTCCAAACTGAAACTGAGCTGCTGACCTA